TTTCATCATTGCTTTTTCTGAACTCTTTGCTCACACACATGTGATCCATGTCTTGATGGTAACGTGTGCAGCTCAGATCTTGCTGGGAGGCAACCAATGCTTGGTGGTCAAACCAAGGCTCAAAAGCACTAACCAATAATATCAGCAAGAGTCCTGCTAATAAGCAATTCATATGACCGGGCATGGTATGGTGTCTCATGCCTGTTATCCCAGTACTTCGGGAGGCTGAGACAGGTGAATTGCTTGAGCCTAGGAGTTCGAGACCAGACTGGGCAACAGAGCAAAACCTTGTCTCCACAAAAAATCAAAAAATTAGCTGGGCATGGTGGTGTGCGTCTGTGGTTCCAGATACTTGGGATGCTAAGGTGGAAGGATCCCCTGAGTCCGGGAGGCCAAGGCTACCACGAGCTGTAATTATCGTGATCATGCCATCGCACTCCAGCCTGTCCACAGAGTAAGACCTGGACTCAAAAAAAGAAAACACAAAACAAAAAACACCTCGTGTGCTCATGCTGGGTCCTCTCCTTGATGGCATACATTATTATTTTACAAAAGGGAGGCTGCGACTTCACAGAAAACACCAGCCGGAAGTGCAGAGGTCAGCAGAGTCATACTTAGGCAAGCATGGGAGAAAAACTGGCCCTCTGGGCTGCCTTCAGGAAACTTGCTCTGTGGAACTGAGTGGCTATAATTCCAATGACAGGGAGGGCGGACGTTTCTGGACCAAGTCCTTGTGTCATGACCCCCCGTGGGGCTTTCCTCACGACAATCATCCTCCCTCACTCAGGATCCGGATGGCCAGGTCACCTGCAGCCATGCTGGGCATCTCTGCCCACGGTCCTGGCACTGGGACTTTAAAAAGACACGAGCAAGAACAATCTGAAAGCGGTTTCTACGCCCTCACCCGCGGCATCTCATCCCCCCTGCCAAGAGGCCAGAGCCCCTGCTGCCAGTGAACTGGACAGCTATGCCCCAAGGAGGCGGCTGGACAGGGGTGGGGTAGCTGGTGGGCCCCCGGGATATTTCAACCCTGGTTTCAAGGGTGACACACGAGAGGCAAGAATGCTCACACACGGCCAGCTTCTTCTGGCAGGGCTACAAATCTGATTCGGTCACCATTTTATAACCCTGGGCTATGAGCACAGAGATCGCTGCAGGCTGAGCTGAGCTGCAGGGCAGGCCTCCTGCACATTTACAAGAGGAGAATGATGAGGCGGAAGATGAGCAAGCAGAAAAAAGTCAATGGCAGGGACAGAAAAGGGAGGACAGAAGCAGGGAAACGGCAGACAAAGGAAAAGGGGCCTTCTCGCAGCAGATCGAGCCGTCCACCCTCTGGTCCCAGGCTGCCTCGAGAGCAACCCAGAATAAGTGCCACCTTCCCTCCAAGCCCTGTGATTGCGGTGATGACAACAGACATTTGTCAGCACTCATCCTGTGCCAGCTGGTATACTGGATGTGTGTGCATGTGTACATATATAGATACACACATACACATCAAGAGATGTGGACACACATGCACATATCTATAGATTTATACCCATCTAGACATAGACAGAGACACATGTACACGCATGCACGCACATGTACATATACACAGATCAAACACATGCACATTATTTCCCTTACTCCCCCCCACAGTTCTATGTCCCTGGTGGTGGTGACTGTGGCACTTGCTGCACAGACATGTCAAGCAATTTGCCCAGGAATGCCTGTCTCCTGCTCCTCTTCTGGAGGCCTGGTTTGTCAACGTCACCTCTAAATGTCGATCCACAGTGAACAGCATGTCCAGAAGAGTCCTGGAGGGCACAAGGGCCAATGCAGCCTCAGGAGGGGCTGGAACGGACAAGTCCCGAGGCCACGTCTCCTGACATCCTCTGCTTCTAGCTCAGGGTCTACCCTCCAGGGCGCTTGCTCATGCTGAATCCAGAGGAGAGCAGGGCCTTGGCCCTCAGCGCTCCCTGCCCTCCTCTGCTGGCCTGACTCTCTCAGGTTCCTTCCCTAGCCCCTTTCCTGCGGGTGAGTTGGATGAGCTCCAGCTACCATAGTCCGCCTGGTCACCTGACTCATGGCCAGAGGGAAGCACCGACATGCTCACGAGGCCAGCTCCGGGTCCTGAAAGCCTCAGCCCCAGTCAGCGCCTCCAGGGGAGCCAGGAGTTTCAGAATGTGCAGCTGCTCCAAAGGTCTAACTGAAAAGGCACTTTGCACCTTTAATCCGAGGCTCTCACGCACCTGGTTCCAGAACCCACGCACAAAGGGCGCCTTTACAAGAATGTTCAAGCCGCGCTCCCTCCTCCAAAAGCAAATGTATAAATCAAGATCAAAAGACCAACGAGGCCTGGCACAGTGGCTCATGCCAGTGACCCCAGCACTTTGGGAGGCAGAGGCGAGAAAACTGCCTGAACCCAGGGGTTCCAGATCACCCTGGGCAAATTGGCGAGACCTCGTCTCTACAATAAATCAAAAAAATTAGCCAGGCATGGTGGTATGTGCCTGTGGGTCCAGCTCCTTGGAAGGCTGAGGCAGAAGGATCGCCTGAGCCCAGCAAGTCAAGGCTGCAGTAGCCATGGGCACCACTGCACTCCAGCCTGGGTGACAGAGTAAGACTCTGACTTCAACAACAACAACAAAAAGACCACTGAGAGAAAGTCCAGAATTCAGCTTGCAAAGCATGGGCCAACCCTGGGCACAAGCCTACCTTCCACAGATACAGAAAGCCCAGTGCAAGCCTTTCTTCCATAGCATGTAGAGTGAAGCCACAGACCACGACTGAGGCCAGTCGGTCCCACACCAGCTGCCTCTGGCTACACGCAGGTCCCTGGACATGAGCAACACACCCAGTTCATTGGGTATCCAGGCACAGGGCCCTGTGCTGTCCAGGCTGAGTCCAGGGCTCTTTATAAATGCACAGGGATTTCCGAGTGGGGGGTGGGAGGGTGTGCCTAGTCATCAGGGCCCACTCCTGAAGGCAGAAATCATCAGTGGGGGTTCAAAGCAGGCAAAGCCACAGAGACCAAGGCGAACAGAGGTGGTGAGGGTCTAAATGTCTGGCGGGGCACGGCTCAGGGTCCGCAGACCCATCCCCAGGGCTCTGGCTGCAGGCACACGCACTCCCCAGGGGGACCTCTCTACCTTCCCTGTCCCCAGCAGGCGGACAGGCCGAACAAGGGCAGCCTCCTCAGTCTCGGACGCACCTTCCCCGACCTTGGAGACCTGCCTAGAGTCGATGAAGCAATCTATACATCTGGGCCCAGCCCCACCAAGCGATAATATATCTTTAAGCAGTTTCTACCCAAGTGAGGCCAAGAAATGTCTCCAGTGCTGCAAGGGGTGTTATTCCAACTGTGGCTAGTAAAATATAATAACATGCGTGCGTTGTTTTTATTACCTATCTAGCTTATTAGGTAATAAAATAAGCTCAGCATTAAAAATTTAACTGAAGCCGTTATCACACCCAGAATTCAGGGCTCTGGGTTTCCTTCAGAAGTTACCCAAATCTGTCACCTTTCCAGCCTTTTTACCCATTTTAATTTCTCAGGAGAAGGAAAATTCCTCTTGGTGTCCAATGAATGTGTCGAGTAAAGTCAAAAACGTCCACTGCACAGGAAGAAGAAAGGGCCACATCTGGAACTGCAATGGGGAAAATGAGAACCGGACAGGAGGGCTCTGCCCACACCCTTTCAGGCCCTTCCCCCCGTGGACCCATAGGGCCAGGGGAGACACAAGCATGCCACCAGTTCACCCTTCCGCTGACCTTGAGCCAGGGTCTAGGCCCTTGAGCAAAGGTGTGCTCTAGACTTGAGACATCCTCACCTCTTTTGTGGGGTGCAGATGTCTCAAGTCTAGGCTGCAAATGGGAACTAAAGAGGAGAAACACTCCGTAAACAGAAACTGCGTTTTCTCTCTAAAAGGAAAGAAGGCCCAACTGAGAAAACAACGGCAGGCACTGAAGGCAGGTGGTTGTGCCCGCCCTAAAGGGAGCAGACCCGCTAAGCCTGCCCACTCTACATCTAGCCATAACGTCGGGAGAGAAAGGTCAGCCCCTCTGCTTGTCCCCATGACACGCAGCTCTTCAGCCCCTCAAGCCCAGTGGGGAGAATGTTTATATGCACAAGACCAGAGAAGGCGATGGTCACATCACAGCCCTAAGCCACTGAGGGCCTCCCAGAACCCACAGGGCTGCATTCCCATCACACCCACCCTACGAGTCACAGGTCCCAAGAGCCGAGTCGACTCCTTCGGCTCTCACCCACAGCAAGAACCAAACACAGTCAACCCTCAGGCTCAGACACTGTCCTAATGGCAGTGTATTAAGTCCAAGTTCATCTCAGTCGAATCAACACCCAAGATCGGCGTTAGCACAAGGAAGGGCTCCGAGACAGAGAGGATAAAGTCCGAGTGACGCGGCATGTGGCCAGAGGCTTCTCCTACAGTGAAGCGCGAGGTGATGACAGGGGCAGCACAGAGGATACTGATGACAATTTCTTGGTGGCCTAACATTTAAAGAATTTAATCAAAGGACTAGCACCCCGCCCCCAACCCACAATCTCTCGCTCTCTAAAACCATCAGCCGTAGCCCTGATCTCAGGATCACCATCAGCCGAGGGACACTGAATCCTGGTGCGTACGTCTCTTCTAGCAGCTGCAGGGGAGGCCTCCTGGGAGAGAAGGCTCCAGCGAAGGGCCGAAGGGATGACCAGCGTTTGGTCCCACGGGTCTGCCCACCAGTGCCTGGCCTCTCACCGCCATCTGCTCTTGTTCCCCTAGCACTGTTCTCATGGGGAGAGCATGCCTGACTATAAATGGAGAAAAGTGAGATGCTTTCTAAAAACCAACTTGAAAGAATCTTTGAATAGGATTGAAAACAGAAAGAAATTAACCCACTCCTGGGCATTTCTGAAACTGGCATTCTGCGCTCGACAGGGATAGGCCAGAACCAGCAGGGACTCCAGCAAGCGCCAAGGCGACTCTGCCACACCTTCCAGGCCGCTGGACTCTTACCTGTGCCATCTTGGCAAGGTCTAGGGAAGGCCTCTGCTCCTGCACTTCCTCAGGGCGCCGCCGCTTCACGCCGACCTTCTTGTCGTTAAGGACACACGGCTGGGAGCGGCTGCGAGCCAGGCCGCTGGAGCGTCTCGCCAGCTCTGGCGTTGAGGCAGGTGTGCTGTTGGCTGAGGGTGGACAGTACTCCGTGAAGGAAAACTGCTCATGCGAGCAGGAGAGGGACCGCTGCAGGTCCAGCCGGCCCCCTCCCACGGGGTGCGGGTCAGGGCTCCAGGTGCTGCCCGCCTGTCCACAGGGGGCTGAGCCTGGCACCCCTTGGCAGGGAGGCCCACCGAAGCGAGGCTGGAGTCCCGCCTGGTCGCAGGGCGAGGAGAGCGCGTTGGCCCTGGAAGGGAGGCTGAAGCTGGAGCTCCTCTGCATGGTGCTGAAGCCGTTGGAATAGCGCTGGACGCTCCCCCCGCTGTAGCAGCGCCTCTTTTCCACAGGCGTCCAAACTTTGGAGCCCAAGGGCCTCCATGCTGTCCGGCAGCTGGACATCTCATCGGAGAAGGACAGAGAGCGGCACTGGCGCTTGCTGGGGGGCGCTGAGGGGTTCCCGTTGTGGTCGCTGATGCTGAGGTCTTTGATCAGGCTGGTCACGGCACAGGCGGTCACCGCCTCCCGGTGCCACAGTGAGCTGTCCTGACACTTTTCGGGCAGGCATTCCCAGATGCTGGCACTTGGTTGGTCAATCTGAAGAGGGCATTTCCTGTCCAGGTCTCGCCATCTGTCATTTTCTGGGTCATAAAGGACAAGGAGAAAACAGGATTTGAGAAGGCCTTCACTCCAGCCCTCCGTCTCCACACCCGCAGAGGCAGTAAGAGCCAGGAGGCCTGAAAACCCATCCAGGCCAGCCGGGCTCAGCGGCTCAGCCTGTCATCCCGTGCCTTCGGGAGGCCGAGGCGAGCGGATGGCCTGAGCCCGCGGGTTCGAGACCCACCTGGGCGGCGAGACTTCATCTCTACAATAAATCAAAAAATCAGCTGGGCGTGGTAGCGCATGCCTGTAATTCCGGCTACTCGGAAGGCTGAGGCGGAAGGATCGCCGGAGCCCAGCAGGCGAGGCTGCGGTGGCCGGGAGCGGCTGCTGCACTCCAGTCTGGGCCACCGAGTGAGACTCCAACTCAAAAAAAAAATCCAGTCCAGCCTCATGTAACAGATGAGAAACTGAGGCTCAAAGAGGGGAAGTGAATCCCAAGGCTTTGAGTTGGGAGCAGACAAAGGCCTAGAATCCAGATGTCCTCCTGCGACTCCTGATACAGGTTTCTTTCCAACACACCATACTGACTCCCAGGAAAATCCAAAGCAATATTTTTCTCATCTGATAGAGGGGAAACGGACTTGCCCCGTGCCCCACCTTGGCTGGCAGCAGAGGCAGGGCAAGCAACACATCTGTTAAGTCCTATTCAGTTCTCTGTGGCTCTTAGGACTGGGACTCAATGCCCTGGCCAAAGACCATAACCAGAGATGAGTCTTTCTGGACTCAAGATGGTCAAGGTCAAAGGGGGCTGAGGTACTGCCAGGCTAGTTCATCTGAATTCCATCTTTAAAGTCCTTGATGATTATAAAAACTGGCAATTTTATTTATTTACGTCTTCTCTGCCAAAATGTTCAACAACATCAACCTCACCAACAGCTGCCAGTCATAGCACTGTCTCTGTTCACATAGTTCTCGCTGAAATCAAGGCTATTCAAAGCAACTGAAGTCTATAAGAGCAAGTCTTGAGCTTCACAGACTTAAGGGTTACAACTTAAACTTGCATATTCAGGCTCCTACTTGAACATATGAATAAATAAAGCTAACCCTGCTATGAAATGCTGAATTTACACTTGAACCTTTACTTTAGTGAAATAGTCAAGAATGATTTGTTTTTCTACTATGGAGTCTGGCACCATGTTGGGAATTTTAGGAGATGCAAAGATAAATTTGACATAGTTCTTATATTCAAGTTTATGATACAAAAGCAGAGTTACAAAATATGCCATGCTATCAGGGATCAACATGTTAGCACTACTTTTTTCTAACCTATATATATTCATAAATCGTGCGAATGTGAATGGCTTGCATCAAGGATAGAGAAGGACAGAGAAATGAAACATAAAATGATATTCAGTAGGTATTTAAATGCGCACCGATCCTCACAGCAATGTGGATCTTTTACCGAGCATTTGCCCTGGGCCCTGTAATGCACACAGCACCCTGCATGCAGGTACCATCATGGACCAGATGGGAGACGGAGGCCTGGGGGAGGTTGAGCAACGAGCCCAGGTCACACAGCTAACACATGACAGGACGCAAATCCAGATTAGTCTGGCCTCAAAGCCCAGGCTCTTTTTACTACACTGCATTGCCGAGGTGAGCCTGGTGCTGGCCCTATCCTCAAGCAGTTTATGAGTCAGGCAAGACAGGGCACCGGCTCAGAAAATTGTGATTTAACCCGCATAAGTGTTCCAGGCAGCAAGGACCAGAAACCTCCCTCCCTCCACCAGCGGCCGCTGCTCACAGCGCACCAGAGACACACCCAGGGCTGAGCGTCACAAGCAGCATTCCCCTGACTGGTTCGAGGTAGATGCCCAGTGCCGCCCAAAGGAAGGCCCGCGAGGCAAAAAAAAGGCCAGCTCAGGGCCAAACGCAAGGCTCCTTCCTTTTAGGCACTCGACAAGGTCATGAGGCACATCGGGAGGAGCTGGGACCCTGTCAGGGGACATGGGTAGAAGCTGTCCAGAGGCTGTAGTCACAGAGGGCCTGCTAAGCTGGAGGTACCAGGGGAGAAGGGTCCCATGAGCCCAGGCAGGCCAGTGGCAACAAAGCAGGCCTGTCGTGAAACATCCAATGCATGCATCACTCATTTCATCCCTGAATTTTCCCAGGTCATGACTCAGTTTGACTAAATATTTCACGAAAATACAGGCCAAGCCTCGATACCTGCTCCTTCCATTGGATTTGGTCGACTCCTTTAAAAAAACCACCCACAATACCTTTTGCAAGTTGCATTTATGCTGCTCAAATATGTCTTTACTACCCATGGAAATGGCTCCCTTTGGGTACCCTCCCCCCACTCTTTTTAAACAGTTCCCATTTGATGTTAGTCAGCCCAAATAAAAAGTAAAATTAAAAGAAATATAAACCCACACTGATTGAGTCACAACCATTTCTGTTATCTGATTTAGCCTTGTTTGGGGTACTCAATTGACCGCAGAATGTTATCTGATTTAAAAGAGGGAGAGTTATCCTAAGAAAAAAGTGGAGACTTAGCCAGGCTCGGTGGCTCAGCCTGTAATCCTGCGCCTTTGGGAGGCTGAGGTGAGTGGATTGCCTGAGCCCGCGGGTTCGAGACCCGCCCTGGGCAACTTGGCGAGACCTCATCTCTACAATAAATCAAAAATTAGCCGGGCGTGTAGCACGCGCCCGTAGTTCCAGCTACTTGGAAGGCTGAGGCGAGAGGATCACCGGAGCCCAGCAGGTCAAGGCTGCGGTGACCGGGAGCGGCCATTGCACTCCAGTCTGGGTGACAGAGCGAGACTCCAACTCAAAAAAAAAAAAAAAAAAAAAGTGGAGACTTGACATATGACGATGTTCATCAGGATGATAAGTGACAGCAAAATGGTAAACATAATTAAGATGTCTTACAGAAGGAGGCTGGTTAAATAAATTATCAAGGAATATTTAATAATAAGTCACATCTAAAGATGAAAAGGAAACAAACCAAAATGTTAACAGTTTGGCAGACAGCTGGCTGGATTTATTCTTTTTCTCTTTTGTTTTTCTATCGTCTATTACCCAATATATGGAGTATGCGACTACCAAGTCCACTGGTGCTGTGCCCTGGCTTAATTTGGGAAGTGAGCCAGGGTCAGTTAGGGTGAGGGCCTTCTGGGGAGACTCCTTTGGGTTTTCGGGAAGTTGTCGTAGAAAAATGCTGGTCACCAACTTCTCTTGGGACAAGGCACTGAAGCACCAGATGAGCCAGAAATGTGGCAGACTGAGGAAGGAACCAGGGGGCCCAACCACAGAGTAGTGACGGCCCCAAGATGGTGCCATGATGGATACTGCTTAGGGTGCTTGAGGCTTCGTACAGAATGTGGCTTGGCCAGGCTTCAGGAAATCCATGAAATTAAAAGATGATCCCGGTTGGATATGGTGGCTCAAGTCTGTAATCCCAGCACTTGGGGAGGCCGAGGCAAGAGGACTGCCTGAACCCAGGGGTTCAAGACCAGCCTGGGCAACTTGGTGAGACCCCGTTTCTATAATATATCATGGTATCACACACCTGTAGTTCCACCTACTTGGAAGGCTGAGGCGAAAGGATCACCTGAGCCCAGCAGGTCGACGCTGGGGTAACCGTGAGCCTGCCTCTACACTCCAGCCTGGACAACAGAGTGAGACTCTGACTCAAAAATATAAATTAAAAAAAAGATGATACCATGCTCAGAGGATGCCACTTCCTGTTCCATTTTTGTTCCTCTGGACTGGAATTATCCCCATCTCCAGGGAAATCATAAGAAGGGGAATTGGGAGCTACTTAAATACGAACACATCTCTCTCACCTGGCTGTGCCCTTCCTTTCCTGTGGACAACTCACGATCTTGGTGTTTCATGACTGGACCCCTCGGGACCTGCTTACTCCAGCCCCACCCCCCTCATGGCCTCTAGAGAACTTTCTGAAGCCCCCCACTATTGTGGCCCGCCCCTTCAGCTGTTGCCCACTGCCTCCTGGAGAGATGGCAAGCATTCCAGCCTGACACCCAAGCCCCATCTATTCATTTCCCCAGCAGACTTCCTTTCAGGCACCCAACACTCCTAATACCAAACTTCCTACCATATTGGAGCTCAGGCAAGAACGACACAGAGTCAAAACTATCCTTGAAAATCCTTGAAACAGTCGATAAAGTACACCCCTCCTGGTTCTGTGTAATTCTTATGCACCAGCAATTCTATATAAAACTAAGGTTTAGTAAGGAAACTGCAGGAATGAACACGGTAAAATCTGGATGCAGAGGGCTGGAAGTCCAGTTTGCTTGGCCACAAGGTTAACGATCAAATCTCCAAGAGGAACTGGGGTTGGATGGTGAATGCGAACACGCCCTGGCTTACCCAAAGGATCTCCACCATTCTGTGGTAAGGAGTATACTTCTACGACCTTAATATGTGAGATTTCTTTAATATGGTAGGGAGGATTCAAAGGGTCAGATCTCGACTGTGAAGAGAAGTTTCAGCTTCTCCCAAACACCATCTCTTCACGATGCCTTCATACCTCTGCAAAATCCTGGAATATTCCTCTACCTTTATGCTCCTCTCACCAAGACAGTCTCTCCATTTAAAAGCCAACTCAAGGCCAGGCATGGTGGCTCATGCTTGTAATTTCAGCTCTTTGGGTGGCAGAGATGAGAGGATTGCATGAGCCCTGGAGTTCAAGACCAGTCTAGGCGACATAGTGAGACCTTGACTCTACAAAAACAAAAAATTAGCTGTGTACAGTGGCATGTGCCTATAGCCCTAGCTACTTGGGAGGCTGAGGAGGAAGGATTGCTTGAGCCCAGGAGTTCGAGGCTGCAGTGAGCTGTAATCATGCCACTGCACTCCAGCCTGGAGAACAGAGTAAGACCCCGACTGAAAAAAAAAAAAAAAAAAAAACCGCTCCAACTCAAACCTCTTCTCCCTAATGATCCCCTGGCACTCACAGCTCTTTGCCTAGATTGTCAATTACACAGCACATGTGTTACCTGAACCTTAATTA